CGATGATCCATCACTCAAGGACCGGCCTCCTTTCGAGCGGAGCGTCCTTTCACAACAAGCGTGGTGGCTTCTCCTGTGGAAGCCTCAGAGGTGAGTGCCAAGCTCTGAGCCTCCGTTGATCATTAAACATCCATTTTAAAGCAGTGGGAGAAGGTTAACTGTCATTTTAAACACAGAAGGTGGTAGAGGAGGGAATTTTTTCCCCTCGGATGTGTTTTCCCAGTGAAAAGAAGCGAGACCATATATCCATCCATCAGGTTAACAACCCGAAAGCGTAATCATTCGTTTCAGTCGTCTGTCTCTTTATTTTTGAGGTGAGCCACAAAATAGCTATGATTGGCTTTGCAGTTAAATGAGAAACTTACCCCAAAGCACTTTGTTTAAATAAACAAAATTCCTTTTTCCTTTTTTTTCCTCAACCCACTCCTCCTGTGTGCATTTTCCTACAACCTCATCTAGAAACGTGAATACACTCTCCTAACTGTAAAAACAACTGAAACCACTTTATGGTAATGCTCTTAAGGATTTTTTATGTCAGGCAACATGAGGAAAACAAAATAAACAAAATTAGAAGTTGATCCCTAAAACACACCCGATGATAGAACTGAGAAAACTTACGGATGATGTTCAATTTTCTTAAAACAACACATTTTTTACGGGTCAGCAGGAGCCTTGGTGTTTGAAAGGAGACAAATCTGGACTGCAGGCAGGCCAGCTCAGCATACTGACTTTAAGTCTACTAAGTGTCCATACTTTAGTACAGTCAGGGGCCTAGCTTATAAAACAAACAGGCAGCAGTGAGTGACATTAGTTTTTTTGCTGCTAACATTCCTGCCTGGACTGGGATCAAACCAGCAACCCTCTAATATCAAGACAGGCATTTCTCTTGTAAATGTTAGCAATAGGTAAACCGGTGAACCAATAGCTGTTTTGCATCAATGGATCCTGCGTTTGCTGCCAATCCAGAAGATGAATTACCGGAAAACAAGCTAATAATGTGACCTCTGACCTTGTTCCTATATATGAAGAACTGATCCTTACTTTTCTTTTTACTCTGCGTTGCTGTTGCATTAATTATTAAATGCATCTTTGGCTTAAATTTGACTTAAAAAAAATCAAACAATTCCCATAATCTGTTAAATTAAGGTTCATTAAGTGCATTCCAAAAACACTGCTGATAGATTTAATTGCATCTCTGTCTTCGGCGTCACCTGCCAAATGAGATTATTCGGAGAGCTGCTTTGATTAAGCTTTTCAGAGAGCTTGGAATCTTCTCGGAATCACTGGCAAGTGCCAGGTTTGATGCCACCTCCTGAGAATCAGAGACTACTTTCCAGACTCCAGACCATTTTAGAGTAACACTTACCCGGGAAGAGATTCATCTCAGAAACAGCACTGAAGGCTGCATCTCCTCCAATAGCAGCCTCCACAGGAGAATGCATGTTCCTCTCCTCCTCAGCGGCCTTTTAATAATGTGAACAACCCCAGCTCTGCTCAGCACTGAGCAAGGCGTCAACCCCCCGAAAAAAACCACGCCACACTGGTCCTGTTCTGTTTGAGCCTTTTCCGCCCTGCGCCTCCACCACACACACGTACAAATACGGTTATTCTGGTTTTCGTCAGAATGTAAAAGACCAGGGGAAGTTGTAGAATGATGTCAGGTCAGTACAAGAGTGGAAAAGCAGTTACATCATTCATCTGAAAATGCCCTAACATTGCAATGTATCGAACAGATGGAAAAGGGCATTTCTCTTCTAACATCCAACAAGAACTGCCCCATGTACCACCATGCTTCCCCTGCGTCTCCCTTCCCTCTCTCTGTCCGTTTGTTTGTCCAACTTTTTCACAGCGAGTGTGTCAGAGAAATTGAACAAGACAGCTGTCAAACCCGCCTGTTGTGAGTGAAGATGGCAGGTGAAGTCCTGTTTTTCTTCCAGCCTCTCCCTTCCTGCTCTCATGGTTCACAACTGAAACCTGCCCCCCCCACAGCCCGCTCTTCACTACAATGGTGTGGTTTTGCCCGAACAAAAGGACAGGGAGGAAGAAGCAGGCTCTGTTCTTCAGCAGGTTGGGGAGTAGTTGGCTCTGGTTATTACCCAGGAGCGGGATGACCATGAAGGGGCCACCGACCCCTACTGCTCTCCCAGTGGCATTTATATTCACGGTCTCCGTGTAATAACTTCTCACACACTGCACTTCTTTTTCCTTATTAACCTTTAGTGATCCTAATTTCAATGCAGGGCCATCCACAAAGGCAAGTGAGCGCTGCTTTTTTTCTCTTTTTTTATCTCTGTGCTTGTAACAAATGTGTGTAAGTGTTTATCTTTATCTATTAACCTAAGGATTGCAGATAAAATTAAGCCATGCATCACAAGACAAAGAGGAGTGAGTGAGAAAAGAAATCCATCAAAATAAAAAGTGCCCTGCTGCATTCTTTCCCTGACAAACAACAGCTGCACAAAATGGGGAATAAATATTATCTCTGCAACAGAAAAACAATCAGACACCACTAGGTAGTCAGTCTCCCACAAAGCCCGAATGTTTTGCATCTTCATGTCTACACTCTCTGACTGCAGAATTAAACCATTTGGTTTGAAAAGAAGAAGGAGGCACAAAAAAAAAAAGAAAAATATTTTCTGTGGCATTTCAGATGTAGACCGCTATGGCCAAATTGCTCCTCAAAATGTGAAAACAGATTTTCAGCAACTTATTTATGCTTTTTCTTCTCCATACTCTCTAGTGGGATTTTGGTTCTCCTTAAAAAATAAAATACAGACCCAGATTTTGATTTATGCCAGTGTGGAGGAAAACTGTTTCAAAATGGACACATCTTTTTAAACATAACCACGTCTTCAAATGGTATCCAGAATTTCTCAACTAAATACATGGCTCCTGGTGTTATAATATGGCCAACCAATTCTCTGGATCCACACTAAATCAGCTTCCAACATAAACACCAGCTCGCTCGCTCTCTCCCTCTCTCTCTTACACTCACACATATACACACACTCAATTGCAATGTCCAGCACTTCTGTGACTGGCCTCCACTATGAGCAGCAGCAGCAGCAGCACTCTATCAGAACAAAACAGCTCAGAGGAAGGGGGCTGGTAGCTCAAGTTCTCCCCATTGAAATGCAGACACTTTGATATGGAAATTGGCAGTTACAAAAACCCGCTAGAATTCACACTAGCATGTATTGAAACCATTTGCGCAATGTGAGATGTGATGGCACTTCCTCCCCGAGACAACACAGACAAATGGACCAAACCAGCAGCATGTCTGGGGCGGGCGTGAGATGGTGAGGAGATAGAGGGAGAGACAGAGAGAGAGGGTGGAAGCAACAGAACGGTTGGCCCTTCCTCTCCCTTTTATTTCCCTCTTTCTTTCTTTTTCTTATCCTGTCCCAGCATTTTTTTTACTTTGGTGAAACTGCCTGAGCTCAAATGCGGGAATTTGGAAACACAACGTGTATATTCAAAGACAAAACATCCCATTATAGCCACTGGCACGGGAGGAAGTGACCTTTCCACCTCAGGAATCACCGACGGCTGCAACAGTAGTCAGGAACCAAACTCTGCCTCATTACAGGCCAAAAAAAACCTTCATCTTGTGACTAAAACTAATTACTCCTGGTCTGAATGTCGCAAAACACAACATTTCACAAAGATGAACAAGAGCAGGGCGGCAACTTATGTTGTTTTTTTTTACCATTGAAAATTAGTAAAATTGGTTCCATTAAAGTGAAATAATATTCTGAAAAAACTGGCATTTTTTGTTTCACAAATCTGAAGTTGAATTTTTACTTTGATGCCGGAGAACATTTTTAATTAAAAATCTTAAAAAAAAATCTAATTAAATTAAAAATCTTGCTTGCAATTTTTTTTTTTTTTGCAAAAATTCACTCAAATCAATTAATTGTTATTTGGAAAAGCCCATTAACAGATAAAAACATTCAGGTTTTTTGTCACCTGTATGTCCAAACATACAGGCTTCCATGGTGCCAACAGTGTGATTCATTTCCCATCCAGTGCAATACGCCTTATAAAATGTTGCACCACTGCCCGATTTGGGCTCTGGGATGGAATATGTGTGATGATTTTTTAAACTAAATGCTCCGCCACCGAAGCCACAGCCGTGCTCCTCGGGACACGTTTCTTCGCCGAAGTGGATGTGGCCTTATTTCTAGAGAGGGTTCACGTGAGAATAAGATATGAAAAAAACTCTTTATACATGTGTGTGTGTGTGAGAGAGAGAGAGAGTGTGTGTCCCATCATCACACATGGCTGGCTCAGGTCTGTGAATTATACATGGCCAGTGAAATGATCTTATTTTATAGCCGCAAAATGGAGAAGTAAATGGAGACAGTAACTGACAAGCAGCTACTTAGCTCCTGGTGTCCTGGTCTGGGTGGAGATGTTTGTGTGTGTGTGTGTGTGTGTTGGTGTGTGTGTGAGAGCGAGAGAGAGATAGAGAGAGAGGCTGCTCCTATTTTTCACCATGTTATCACACTGATTATTATCACTAAATGGCTTCTAAATTAACTCACATTTGCTCTGCACAGACTTTACATCCACACACTCCTGGTCTCTGTGTACATTTTTGCACAATTTTAAAATATCAGAATATTCTCCAAATATGTTGATGAAAATACACACAGAGTTGTCTTTAAAAAAAATAAAATAATAAATAATAATAATAAAAAAAAGATAAAGACACTCACAGTTCAGTGGGACGCTGCCCGTAGCCAGGGCAACTTTGAGTGCATTCAAAGTCTGCAGGCTGCAGATATATAACAGAATAACACCACCGTGCATTACAAACTGTGCATTGATCTCAACAATACACTTTCAAACTGCTGGAGGAGAGTCCATCCGCCGGCCCGTGTTTCTGATATTTGCCTGCTCCCACCGTGGGAGTTTGTAAATAAATGGTATCGATTCACAGGACCATAGAAGCATCTTCACAAGACTCTGAGCATCAGCTTTTAACGGCTACTTACAGTGATGTGCGCCGTGCCAAAATATGGATGCCGGCTCTGAGAGTGTGAATTTTAGATTAACACCACGACTCTTCTGCTCTCCTCTCCTCTCCTCTCCTCTTCTCTCTTGTCCGCTCCTCGGTCAGAGCAGGGCCCCAGAAACTAAGCAGCGGGTCTGACAAAGACGACTGGGGCTCGGGTGCATGCTCCACTTTCCTCACAGTGGACAGACAGCGAGGTTTCCCGTGGCGAGTCTCTCTTCGTCTTCAAGCCCGTACGTCCAACATCGGACCAAACGCTCCATGTTCAAAAGTGCTGATCCATACCTGCCCTCCTCATCTCCCTTCTCCTCCTCTCTTGTGCGTAAAAAGCCGTGCTCTTTTGGCCGGAGCGACGCGCACTGTTTGCAAAAAAAGAAAAAAAAAAGCACGGATCAGTTGAAGGAGACGAGATGGTCTCGCTGCAAAAAATATTCAAACTCCCAGCTCCAGCACTCTTAAATCTGTGAGAAAAGTCTCCACCAGGCTTCGTCCACACGGATGTAGTTCAAAAAAGGAAGAAGAAGAGGAGACTTTTTTTTTTCTTTGCGCTCCTGGCTCTTGATTATGCGCTTCATCCACACGCCGTGCAGGCGGACAGTCGGAGCTACAGCCGGGACTGGAAGCAAAGCAAGCGGAGGAGGAACGGCGCACCGGTGCTCCTCTCTGCAGCAGCTGTGGCTGTGAGGAGCAGGAGCAGCAGGAGCAGCAGGGAGGAGGGTGAGGAGGAGGAGGAGGAGGAGGCGAAGGAGGAGCAGTGCAAAACCGGGAGCGGATCACCAGCAGGACACGGACCGGATCTCGGTGTTAATTTATTACAGCACGCCCTAAATGCTCCTGTGCGTTCACATTACAAGACACAAACAAGTAGAGTTGGTCCTGAATGAGTCAGAGTGGAGGAGGAGTCCCCGCTGATGGATGGATGGATGGATGGATGGATGGATGGATGGATGGATGCAAAAATCTTTTTGTGACTAGAGTGCAGAGCTGCCTATTTCTGAAAAGTTTCTGTTCTTTTCAAAGGGAAAATGTAACAATTATGACCACACACTGTGAAACAAGTCCTAAAAAACCCTTCACTTTCATCAGACTGCAGGAATTTATTTCAAAAATGTCTTCAACTCTAAAGTGGTTAGCACTAAGTTGGTGAGTAAAGTAAAATCTGAAAAGTCTAACCATTTGGTGATTTGTAATCACATTATCATTGATCTTTACGTCCAAACTGACCCAGGACCAGGGGAGGAATGTTGAGTGTTGTGGAATTCAAGTTTTTCTTATTGCTCCTCCTGTTACTGCATTTGAAATGCATGAAATGTTCGAGGCCGGGTGGCTCAGAGTTAATTACATCACCATTTAGACAGAGGTAATTGTTATGCACAAAGTAAATTTGTTAAAATTCAGTACATTTGCATGAGACTTAATTAAAAACGTAAGTATCTCAGGAGGAGCAGGTGGCCCCTGGGTATTGACCAGTATTAAATCTGGAGCACCTTAACAAAAAGTTTGCATGAAGCCACGTAGGGGTGGATGGTGTAGAAACTTATTTTGACTTTTAATATCAGAGACAGACACGTCCAAATACTGAGACAGAGACAAATCTGTTTAAACTGAGGATGTGACAAGAAACTGATATTATATTTAGGGTTTTTTTCCCCTCTGCCCAAGTCACAGAAGGGGAAAAAACAACTTTGCTCTGAAACATTTGATGCTACTTTTAAAGACAAGCCACTAATTGAATATATCTGTGGAAAAGTTAAAAAGATTTTGTTCAAAGGCTAAAACATTCAGCATGTTCAACAGTCTTGTGGGATTCTGTAGATTTGGCTGCATATCTTAGATACACTGTACACTTTAGTATATATTTTATAAATCCTGGTGATTTGGTGCAAAACAGGGCATTTGCCAATAAAAATGGCCAAATGTTGATGATAACAGAGAGAACGTTGAAACACATGTCAACGATGAAGCCGGTGCATGAGCAGCTTCAAATATTCCCTTTAAAGACTGTGTTAATAGTTCGCAGTAATATCCGTGCCTTCGGGGAAAATGGCAGGGCTTAACCCCCAACCTTAACCTCCCACATAAATAAATCCACTCGGCCTGTGATCACACACGTGCACTTAAACTATAGCATATTAATTTCCGCAAAGCAGCTGCCGACTGATGATGTATGTAAACATCTCCGTCCGTCCATATGTTCGTGGCAGGATATTTTCACTGTTCTCCATCACATTTTAAAGGCTGTCGACACAGGAACATATCTGCACTGGGATGACTCTAATCTGTGGCTCATTAACTCGTGCATTTCCTGATAAATGCTTCTGACAGTCAACTGATGGCTGTACGTTTTAGTAAACAACAGCAACAACAACAACATCCTGTGACTTCAGCTTCCTTGCGTTCAGGTGTCCCTGCGTCTCTGTGACAGTAACTGTAATAGAGAGGACAGTTGACTCCTCTGATTTATGGCGTGGTGAACAAAAATGGACATTTTCCAGAATATTTTGCCGTTTCGGGGAAAATGAAAAATCGACTAAATGGATCAGCTAAAAATTCTGTCTCATCCAGGGTTGTCATTACACTAGTCCACAGAGCACTGTGTGATTTTTTATTAAAGTTACATGTGCCTGTGTTGTGACTGTGAACCTGGACCGTGTCAGGTGAGAATCCTACCACTCGACCAACAATGCTGTACTTAGTCAGGGGTCCTCAACATCTGGTCCACGGGTCATTTAGTAACCGACCGCAATGGGCCAAAGATGTTTAATTTTGAAAATTTACTAACTTATTTTTTAGCTTGTTCCTTCATTTTGGTTTCTAAATCCTGACATAATTCATTGCAGACTTGGGGACTAGGTGGAGTTGAACCTGCAACCTTCCTCACCACTTTATCACTATCATTAAATAGAGGGAAAAATGATCAAGCATCTACATTATCAATCATTTCTTGCACTGCTAACATGCTCCTTTTGTGTCTATTTACACAACTGATGTATTACGTCGTTAGCATGTAATATTAGGTTGTTTTTCCAAAAGTTACAAAAACAAGATTGTTTTTAGCAGTGAATTGAGGTCAATTTTGAGGAAGAGGGGGATTAGGGTGCAACTGCAGTGTAAAGGGCAGCAGGGTCACCTTCTAACCAGAGAGCTGGGGGTTCAATTCCAGCTGCTGATCTCTCCCAGTGCAAGACACTTAACCCAAAGTTGTTAATCATACTCCAGCTATTTCTAGTGTGTTAGGAACCCACAAAAATAAGGACGGTTGCACCAGGAAGGACATCCTCATGCAACAACCTGTGCCAAACACCAATGTGCGGATATACACAGTGGCCATACCTGGAAAAACTTCAGAATATAAAAAAATAAAAATGACAGGAGCCACTAATCTTGGTCTTGAATTTGATGGATTAGTTTGGGCTGTTTAAACTTTTTCTCTCTGAGAAAACTCTCAAAGTTTGTAGGCTACGATCCAGAAGACCTCACACTATATAGTCATAGTGGCAACAAATGTTGGACCTCTTGACAGCAACAGATTGTTCAGAAAAGAAACAGATAGTTTTGGAAATACACCAAGTGACAAAAAAGAAGTTTTTTGTTTTTTTTGCCGGCTGTGTAAAACTTTTGTTTTTCTGAGCGTCTCTGCTTCTCCTATATTTCATCACCCGCTGGACACCAGTCTAATTTCCTGTGGAATTTTATAAACATAATATGAAATATGTAGCTTAAATATATGACTATCCTGTTAGCCCTGGCTCAGATACAGGAGAAACAGATGTTTCATTTATTATAGTTTATGGCTGCATTTTTAAAATCGACATCACAGGTAGAAAGAGAGAAAAAAACTACAAACATTCGCCTTAAATAATTGGGTTCCAGTTTTTTCAAGGCGCCATGATACTGAGAAAACACTCAAGGTCCAACTTTGTCATTACACAGCATGGGTATGCAGTGGATTAAAAAAATGTATTTAGTGCATATCAGTAGCTTTTATTCAAATGGCAATGTAATTACAGGCAAACCACTTAGTCTTGACCCTTTTAAGTCAAATAATGTGGAAACATTATGAATGCATAAATTCTGTGTAAAGTGAAAAACAGGCATCAGTAGGTTATAGGTCCCAGTTTTCAATCACAGGCTTTTCAAATCATTACAGGTAAAATCTGGACGCGTGGGAATAGCAGCCGCGTTGGAGGAATTAAACACAAATGTAAGCATAAGGACTTCTTCGCTCTTTTGTCCTTAATTTTCTTTAGTTCTGTCTGGTTTGAGAATTAAAGAGGTTTATGTTTAAAGCCAGATATAATCAGTCAAGGGCAACAATCGACCACCGGGGTCAAAGAGGGCATGCTGTCACACAAAGAAGAAATGATGAGAATTTGTTGTGTACCTGTATTTAAATTAAAAATAGTACTGGATTGCAACTTGATGTAAAATCATTGAAAACAATGCATTCCCTAACCTGGTGTTCTTCATCCTTGGGGTAGCGACCCCACATGGTGTCGCCTGAAATTCAAATGGGGACGCCTGAAATGTGTAGTAATTGATTTTTTAAAAATTACTGAAAAATATCTCAACTTATTATTATTCTTTTAAAGATGTATACAAAGGATCCTTACAACAAAATATTTTACCAAACCCACAAAGATACAGATATTCACAGTATATATATATATGCCATGACCTAACAATATTCATTAATGGAACACTGTTGTAACAAGGGATTTAAAAAGCCCAGTTGTGTGTGTTTTCTCACACGCTGTGCTCGCAGGAATATTTGCATATCATATACATACGATACACATCTGTGGTCAATGTGTTTTTACTGTACAAAAAAAAACTATTATGCAAATATCTGTGTGCACTGTATCACCACACGTCCCACTGACACTCGGCTTTCTCCTTTTCTGCTTATATATAAATATATTTCAAAGTGCATCACAACTTCTGCCTTTGTCAAAATGGAAACAAGGGGAAAGTGACTAAATAGGAAGGAATGGAGGCAAGGGCTGAAAAAGACATAAAAACAATCCGGACTTCTGCCGCACACAAACAACAGTCCATACATTTACATTTAAAGGCTGGCGATTTCAAAGGATTTTACTGAAAGCCAACAGACATTAGCATTCCATTTCCACTTGTGAGCAAATATGATATGATCTCATCGACAAACACGGACGACATGTCTGTGCACGGCAGATTTGTAATTAGTTGGTAATGATTTGTTGACTGCTGCAGATTCACCGGCCGCTGGCCACATAATAAATGTGGCAATTAAAAACCGGCGGGAAGAAGAAGAAGAAATGAATGTTTTTTTTTTAATATTATTCTGATTTATTTATCTCCACACAATACGGCTGAAACCATTAGATCTGCAATGCCACACAGCACTCCGGAGCTCCTGCGGGGTTTTATGTCTGTACCTGTGGTTCAGTACCAGCTGTGTCCTCACTGTGAACAAAGGTGTCTCCGCACATCCACCTCTCTGCTCAGGCAACCAGCAGCTTTCCTACACGTCGTCTGAGCTCTGCCATTTAGCCTCTAAATATCATGTGAAGTTTCTGTTGTCATACCTCAACAATCGATGTACTGGAAAGGAAATGATCTGCGCCGCTGGAAGCAGGTTTATGGTACGATTTTCCTCAGGTTTTTAAGTTCAGCCCCCATGCAGGCTTCTTTTGAACACGATATTTCACTTTGAGTCAGAGCTTTTTTATTCTTCTTCAACGCCTATTTTTAGAGCCTCACTTTTCAGCGCAGTAATAAAAGAGCCACCACAGTGGTGAAAATCCAGACAAAGGACATATTTGCCTGAGAACATTTGATCTGAGAACAAACACTTGATTGCCTACTTTGGAAATATTA